CCCGCGGGGGGTCTGCCAACAGAGAGCTCCTGCCGCACGGCTTCCCCCCTGCCTGGGTGAAGAAACGCCTGTCCTGGAAGTGGGGCAGTTCTGCTGATTTTTGCATGTGATCCCTGCCTGTGTCATAGCTGACTTGGCACGGAAAGAGGTGAAGTCCCACGTATCCCTGAAATCACTTCCTCGCCACCTCCGCGTGCATTACAAGTGGTTGTTCCCTCTTCCTTCCCCTCCCCAGCTCCCCCAGCTCTGGCAGTGCTGCCGTGGAGCTGCACCTCGCTTTCCATCTGCCTTTGCCAAATCTGCCGGAACCTGTCTGCCCGGCGCTTGACGCCATGCTGGCTCCGGCAGTGTCAGGTATGGGCCTGAAGCGTCCCTGGTCCGGCCAAGCTGGGCTGCCTGTGTCCTGCCGGGCCCTCGGCAGGGCGCCCACGTTCTGGCTGAGAACACTTGAAGGGAAGAGCTGGGGGGAAACGCATCCCCCAGAAAACAGCCCCCTGGTCTAGTGCCACCGGTTCCTGCAGCTTCCTCCTTCCCCAAAAGGAAGACTCTGGCTGCATGCGGGGTTTCTGGCACCCTCCCTGTCAGCTGATTGATGCATAGGCAGTTTTGAAAGTGGAAGTCCAGGTTATCGCTCAGCCCCAGCTGGGGACGGATCAGGGGGTTTTCTAGCAGTGACTCAGCGGTGCAGATGGGATATCCTGTGGCACCGCTTGCATTACTGGCTGCGAGGTGGTTTCCAAACTGGGCCTGAGCAAAGGTCACGCTGGTAAAATTTGTTGACTAAATTTAAGCGCTATAAACTGCTTGGGGAGGTTTATGCTGGCCTGACCCCAGCAACCGACCCCGTGTGGGGTCTGGGCCTGTGTGTCCCAGAGGGGTTTGTCAGAGGGGTTTGTGGCTATCGGAGTCGGTGCTCGTGGTGGTCCGGGGGTGAGGCTGGCTGGCAGCCCCGAAGGAGCCGCCCCTCTGCTCCGGGGCGGAGGGCTCCTGCTGCCGTTCTCCAGTACTAACCCTTGGTGGGAGCAGCAGAGACATTACCTGGGGGAGTTTCTGTTTGCTCTGTGACACCCTCCTGCGTGGCAGAGTCCTCATCACAGCAAACAACGGCCTCGCCTTACCCCAGAGCTGTGCTGGGGCCCCGGCTGCAGCCACCTCATGTTTCCCTGTGACTTCTCAGGGCTGTGCTTAGGTTGGGCAAATCCTCGTTACCTGTCTGCTGGAAGTCACACCCTGGGGGAAATTCCTTAAATATGTGGTTAATCCCCGAGAAGCCTTTGCAGGAGCCTTGCATAACACATGCTGTCAAGTTTGCAGAGCTCTCCTGGGCTGTACAGACCTTCCCGGTGCTGAAGCCCCGGCATTTCACAGCTGGACACATCCCCACAGCCTCTGCCCGTGTCGGTCTAACCCGTCCCTGGTGTCAGCGCATGCCAGGCTACCATCGGCGAAGGGTTTGTGTCTCAGCGGTGACCAGCGTGTTGGCCGTAGCCCTCACAATGATGCCCTGTCCCACCGCCCCATGAGCCCCTTCCTCTGTGCCTGGAAGGCGCCACACCATCTAGGAAAGGGCTGCGGTTGTGCGAGGCGGCCGTCTGTGCACGCCATGGATGTTTCCTGTCCCCTACGCCACTGTGTGACTTTTAAGCTTGATGGTTTCCTCCACGGTCATGTCCCCCCTCCTCCAGCCCGAGGCAGTTCCCCTTAACGTGCCGCTCCCCAGGTTTCACGAGTTCTGTATCCGTGGCTGGTGCATTGTCGGGAAGAAGCAGACGTGTCCGTACTGCAAAGAGAAGGTGGATCTCAAGAGGATGTTCAGTAACCCGTATCCTTTCTCCTTGTGGGACCCAGCACCTTGCAAAGGGGAGCAGTGGGTGTAGAGCACGCGAGGGGCTCGGCTGTGCCTGGGAGCTGCTGGCTGCTCCTTTGGCCTTGCCTGGCACCCCGGGCAGGTCGCTGTCAGCAGTGGCAGAGACCCATAAAATCTGTCCCTGAGCTGGGCACATCACGGTGGGCACGCCAGGGGAGCTGGGAGGCCGCATTCTGCGGGACGCTTGGCTGCACCCCAGCCCCTCCTTGCCGAGGTGCAGCTGAGGTGGGCCTGTCC